TTTTTTTTCCATTTGCCTCTTCAAAATCTTGGTGCATCTTATACTCTGGTGTGTCTTATACTCCGAAAAATACAGTATATACCGCTTAATACTTCAATGTCTTGCCCACTGAGGTAGGCTTTAGTGTCATTTTGATCAGGAAAATTATGGTTGCTTTGATATTTTAAAAATAGGGTTAGCAAACCAGTCTCCTGGTGGTTCACAGAGAAGCAATTCCTACATATTTAGTTGTCTTGAAACATTATTGGTGTTTAGAGAGAGCCGGGGGGGGGGGGGGAGGCAGAATAGCAGAGAAAAGAAATGACCCAGGTACTGTCTATTGTTTTTACATATCATCTAATCTTTTAATCCCTGTAGGTTAATCATTATTCATAGAAAAATGATTCCATAAGAATAGTCATTTCCTCAATCAGATAATCAGAAATGGTGAATGCTATTTCAGTTCTGCAGAAAGTGCAAGACTCTCGGTTTATCTGCATTCTCCTGGCATAACCACAAACCAGAGAGCACCTATGTTTCATCAGAATACAACTTTTTGTGGACAACAAACAGCCTTTTCTGGTAATCATAAGATAATGAGCTTAATGAACTCTATTATGGCGAGTCAGGCTAATTTAATATGTACAGACCATTTGCATGCATGAAAGTGCAACAACATCCTAGGATGGACTATATAAAGATCAGAGGGTCAAAGTATAATTGATGGATAAAAGTACTGAGTGATGACATGAGCTTCCATGATCAAGAACTGCTCAAGAACAGCTAGATAAATCTCTTTTGTTTTGTAAATGGAAGAATACAGGTAATCCTCGACTAACAACAAATGTTAACAAACGTTTAATTAGTGACTGTTCAAAGTTAGAACGCTACTGAAAAAAAGTGACTTATGCTTTTTTTCACACTTATGACAGAGTCCCTATGAGAGTGGGCAGCATACAAATTCTAATAAACTTGAAACTTGAAACCTGTGTTCCATTACAAGATTGATAAAAACCAACTGTCTCAAGACCAATATTTTAGGTTATAAAATAGAAGATAAAGGGGATATCTCTGTATGTGCTGCCCCAGCAGTATATAGCTAGTGTAGGAATTAAGAACTGTCTCCTTTAAGAAACAACCTCATGGGAAATGTAGGCATAACTGCCTTATGGGGAAAGTAGTTCCATGACACGTGATCACATCTCTGTTTATGATTGGCCACTGGGGCATTTTGCCCACATACAAAGTTTGTAGCTGGTCAGTTTGAATAGTAGTGTTTTATATCTCCGCTCAGCATGGGATTGAAATCATCATCTTTTTACACCACATGATGGAACAGATTATGGAAAGTCAGAAGTATCTTAACATTGAACTGTAAATTTTGCTAATAAGAATGCCTGATGATAAAATTGAAAAGATACAGAAGGCCTTAACAATCAGTGTATGGAAGAAAAAATAGAACAATCAGATCAGAAGATGGGAAAAATGGAATTGGAATATAAACAACTTAATAAAGAATTAGAANATATCACCATTTGTTTCCATTCTCGCAAAATGTGATTTGATACTATTATTTTAAAATGAGAATTAAATTACTTTTACAGCTATAGGCAAATATGTTATCTAAGAATATTTCACCTATATATATGTTTAATTGGTTCACGATTTACTTTTCTTCAGCTAATTATAACATGGACAATAGTGATCCTACTTGCAATGACCTACTCTTTTCTATCAGCAGCTTTCCCAGAGCATGAAATGTATCAACAGCAGCATCTTCAATATTTACTACACTGATTGTCCAAAAGACAAGGGGATAATGGTAGGCATCACTGCAAGTAAAACTGAAGTCTCTTGAATCTCTTAAACACAACAAATCCTCTGCAAACTTGAAAGATGATATAGTGGTCAAGAATATCAAACTGAGGGAAGAGAACTCCACTCTCAGCTACAGTATGTAGCTCCTTAGTAAAAGTATTTTAACACCACTCATAGTATTATTGTATGAATAATAATGATTAGATAGCAGCAATGCATGCAAGCTCCAGTTCCTCAACAAAAAGGAATTGTAAAAGTGAAATAAAGAAACAACTGGGTATCACTTCCCTGACAAAAAAAATGCACAAAATATATTTAAATAATAATAATAATAGGTAGTGTATCCATTTCACTTTACATATATATAATAGAGATAAATGATGGGTATCAGATGCCTAAGCGATAAGCTACTTGCAAGCTGTTCCTTATGTTACCTGCATCTGCATAACCAACCCATCTTCTACTCCCATGATGTCGTCACCCCAGGACAGCTCACGCCTCCCCCCGGCCAGCTGGTTTTCGGGTCTGTGCCGTGCATGCGCAGGTGGCGGGGTGCATGAGGGAGATGTGCGCACAGGCACAAGGGTTGGGGAAGGGCACATGCACATTCACAGGGGTCATGCACACATGCATGGGATGGGGCACTGGGGGGTTTCACATGCGCATTGCATTATGTGTGCATTAGTGCTTTGGCACGTTCCGACAAAAAGGTTAAGCCATCACTGTTCTACTTCCTTTTCTCCCTCACCCAATTCACTGCAATTTAATCCTACATCAGTCTGGTCACTCTATGGATCTGATGAAATGAGCTACAGCTCACAAAAGCTTACACTTTTTAATAACATTTGTTAGTCAAAATAGGTGTCATCAGATTCTGGTTCTTTTGTCCAGAAGGGATGACTGTATATGAAATGAGACAGCTGTGTCTAGGAATTTTTTATATATACAATAACTTGTAGAAAATCTATGACATAAAATGCCCTGCCATATTTTTACATCCACCACCACCCCAACTGAAGAAAATTACAAGTAAATGAGAGGAAAGAAACTGCATGAAAACCTGGTGTGGTTTTAATGCCCAGAAATTGAGGATATATTTTATAGAAGTAACTTCCCTACCTGCTAATTAATACATATGTATGTTGTACAAAGTGCATCTGTGTACAAAAATTTCATTTGTTTGTATTCCCCATGCCTGGGCAGTTGAGAAGAAAAAGTTGGAAGAAAGGGGGACAGAGTGTCAAAGTCCTTAGTCATTATATTATGGCATGTGATACATTAATGAAAAATGTTATTTATCATAATCTGACTTCATAAAAAAGAGAAATGAAATCAGGCAAATGAACCAAATTATGTTGATAGAAGTGTGCAGCTGAGCTTTATCTGGTGGGAGACCCATGAGTGGACAGATTCCAAAGAAATAACATTCCTACCAGATGAGATAGATTAATAGCAATAGCACAGACTTACTGTATTTTTCGGAATATAAGACACAGTATTTTTTCCCTCAAAAAGAGGGTGAAAATCTGGGTGCGTCTTATACACTGAATGCAGCATTTTTGGCCTCCCAAAACCCCTTCCCCTTTGCAAAAATGGCCATGCATAGCCTTTAGGAGGCTTCCAGAGTGCTCCTGGGGGCTAAGGAGGGCAAAATGGGAAAAAATTGGCCCTTTTTTAATCCTTTTTTCCCTCCTTTGCCCCCAAG